ATTATTCTTTTGGCTGTTTCGTTTGCACGTAAACAAGTAAGAAGTGAACTGATTATGAATATTAATATTGCTCTTATACGAGGGTTGGAACTTTAATAGTGACAACTATTTATTTACAACTGATAGAAAATAGATGTATGTTTCGAAGTTCTACTGTCCTTCAGTGTAGTCACCAGCATTGTGTACAACCCATTGACAGCGATATGGAAGTCGTAGGATACCTTTAGCAGCGCCTGTTGTGTTGATAGTTCAAATGGAGCAGTCTACTGCCTGAAGAGTCTCTGGAACGGTTTTGAAACGAATGCCACGAAGTGGTTCCTTCATCTTAGGAATCAAATCTAAGTCACAAGGGCTTAAGTCCGGGGAGTATGGTGGATGGTACAGCACTTCCCAGCCCCATCGATCGAACAAATCAGCCACAGCTTACGCTGCATGCGGCCGAGCATTGTCCTGCAAAATGATGAGTGTGTTCTGCAGAAAGTGTCGCCGCTTCTTTCTCAAAGCTGGTCGCAGGTTGTGTTCCAAAAATGAACAGTAGTACTGCGCATTGACGGTCTGCTGTTGGGGAACGGTATGCGTTAAGATAACACCATCACAGTCGTACACGAGAATCACAATAACATTCACATTGCTGGGGTTCTGACGAATTTTTAATTTTCCTGGTGACCCGTAATGACGCCATTCGTTCGATTGGCGTTTCTTTTGTGGCTCGTACGATTTAGCCCACGTCTCATCCAGCGTAATGATACGGCGTAAGAAAGCCTCTCCTTCGCACTCATAGCGCTCCAAGTAGTTACGAGCAGTGTCGTATCGTAGCCATTTCTGCATTTCTGTGAAATCATGCGGAACCCATCGTGATGCAATTTCTCACATGCCCAGGCGTTCCTTCATAATATGAAGCACAGTCGTATGCGCTAATTCTGTCTCTCGGGGAAGGTCACGAATCGTATGGCGTCGATTACTCTCCAGTAACGCAGAAAGAGCGTACACTTCTTCACTGACACTAGGACGACCTGGCCGACGTATATCTACCACATTTTGGCGTACTTTGTTGAAGGCCTTTTTTTTTTTTTNTGAAGTCCTTTTTTTTTTTTTTTTACCCACCTTGCCACTGTTCTGTAAGGCAATGCAGATTCCCTGCAAGCCTCTTGAAGACCTTGATGACACTGTCGTGCTGTACGGCCTCTGGCACATTCGATCTTTATCAAACTCCGTTGTTCCTGTTTCGAAGACATCTGACAACACTACATTATACCGCCAGCTAACATGAGGCTCTGTTCTTCTCGTCACTCCGCATGCGCGTGATGTGGGAAGGGAGAGTCCATTTGCTCTGATGTAAGGTAAGTATGTAACTAACATGTGGTATAAGCGACATTATTTGGTTCCGTTGCATGGCGTCTCTACAGCAGTGTTGCCACTATTAAAGTTCCAACCCTCATAGAAACAATCAGTTTTTGAAACATTATGCATGTTAAATTTTGTGGCCAGTAATTTGTTTTGTGGGTGTTGGCTGTTGGCCAGAGCTACTCTTTGGTGAAGGTCAAGCCGGCCGCAGTGCCTTTAGTGGCTCGCCTTTAGCGATTCTGTGGAGGCCGGTGACGATGTAGCTTCACCTTGTTGTTGGTGGGTGCCACCCCAGTGGGGGAACATGAGACTATCACCTGGGCTGTTAATTGGGCCTTGACTTTAACGAAGGCGGTCAAACAAAACCCGCGATAACTTTTCGCAACACTTACACTTTATTTAGTACTTTGTATTTACAACACTGTTAAAACATTTGTGCTTAGAACTGTTAGTAGTCCTTTGTTTCCTGGTGTGAAGATGGAACGCGTACAAACACTTCTTCACCACTTGGGAACTAGTTAGTGTCTCTTCTTGACAAAGGCATACATCGCGACAAGTTAGCGTTAGTATGATGTCATACTAGAGATTCAGCAAGCTGATTGGCTGTTAGTGGGAAGTACCGCTGTAAACCCCCTAGCTACCTGCTCTTTGGGCTTACATCATACATTATAAAGACAAAGAAAGAACTGAATCAAGAGTTTCGTAAGAAGTCATAAGATGTTGAGTGATCCCCATTCAATGTATGGTTCATGGCAATTTATAATGTGTGATAATGTACGTAATTCACTCAAACTCATAATTTAAGTTTTGTTGAGATACAATAATTACATAAAAACGAAGGTATGCATAAACTAGGTGAAGTACATTACTACAAAGGAGTAATCGGTTACAGTATATACCCTCCCAATGGAGAATGTCTAACATAATATTCTTATAATGAATTAACCACTGTCACAAACCTTAAAAATTATTGGCCATTTTAATTTGATTTGAAACACTAATGCATGGTGCTATCAACCCTGTGCTATCCAGTAGATTCTAAAGGGTTCTGACAATGGTGTATAATGCTCAGAAACTAGAGAACACAACATTTCAGAAACAGATGCAGTTTCCAAAACGTTGTGTTCTCTAGTTTTTCAAATACTGGACAATGGATGAGGTCCATTCTCAATTCTTACCAGGTATATAAATCTTCTATGAAATAATGGTTTTACTGTATCAGAACTGACCAGAGCCCTTTTACTTATAAGTAAATTCTATTATGTTAGGTGTAAAAGGTGAGGGTTCATTTAAATTAATAACTCACTATATCATCTATAAAAGCCATAAGTATTGCACGTGAAAGTTATTCACATGTTGGTTTTTTCTCCTTGTCCCTATGACTGGTCTGTTGTTATCACTTTTTTGATGCAGTAACATATTGATATTATTAAAATGTTATTACACACACCTTTTCCACTTTGTTTTGAAGTCTCTCAGGTTATTTATTCCTGTGTGCTATTAAGCATTGTACACAAATGTCATATCAATAATATTAAAACTTGTATTGAAATAAAATAACTATTATCCTTAAATGATAAGTGTGTACAGATGACACTAAAGGAATGTACAACCAAATGTACAGGATGTCTGGATGAAAGGTATCCAAAATAAAATAATTATATCTCAGAAAGGTTTTATTATACATGTTTATGGACTACACCATTACAAAAGGAAACTATCAAAGTCTTTTCTGAGTATAACTTTCTCGATAAATTTCAATGTGGGCTTCCTTGCTGGCATAACAAATATCCAGACAATATTTGGCCTCGTTCCACGTTGCTTGAAGCATATTTCATGTTACCATAGCTACAGCGTCACTTATGTGGGCTTTCAAGTGTTGAAGGTTGTTGATCTTAACCTGGTAGACAATGTTCTTCATGTAACCCCACAAGTAAAAATCTAATGGGATTAAATCTGGTGACCTAGGAGGCCAAGCAATGCATCTGCCGATCCATCTCCCAGCCCAGGTGATTCCTAACATGGTGGCAGAAATGTGGCAGTACCCCCATCTTGTTGGAAGATAGTTTGAGGTGGTAGTTGGGGCAGCACATACAGCTCCAGCATATCCAAGTACGAACATCTGGTCAGTCTTTTCTACAAAGAAAAACGGTCCAATCAACGTGGTGTGCATTAAGCCAGCCCACACGTTCGCTTTGGGGCTGTATCTCCAACTCACACGCGACATGTGGATTTTGACTGCCTAAAATCTTGCAGTTGTACCTGTTTACAACTCCACTGGCATGGAATGTCGCCTCATCTGAGTAGCACACTTGGCAGAGGAAATCGGGTGATGCATCAATTCTTTCTAGCGTGTCCAAAGGGAAGTTAATGCTTGCTACCAGGTCACTTGGTTTTAGTGCATGAATCATTTGAATCATGTACACTCTTAGGTGGAACCCTTTGTGTAGCACACTGTGCACTGTTGAACATGGAATTTGTAACTACAAGCTAGCTGCATAGACTTCACNTTTCAACCAGATAAAGGTAAAGCTGTCCCTGTGCTTAACTAATTAAGCACTATGCCATGAAGGCATATGTGGGAGTGGATGTAGAGATCCACATATTCTTGACCTCAGCAGTAGCTGGAGGTGAGTGGTCAGCTTCATGCCCCTGCTGCTTTACCCCCCCCAAAGAAAAGAGTCCCAGGTACCTGCTGGATAGGAGCCTGGGTGGACCCCAGAGCCGGTCCGGACAATATGGAGAAGAAAATATTCTGACCCTACTGGGACTCAAACTCCAACCTCCTCGGTCGTGCAGCCCATAGGCAGTCGCTATACCGACAGTGCTGTCCGGGCTCACACCTTTCATCCAGACACTCTGTATTTCAACATGTTACAGACTTTAATGTGCAATGATTGAGAGACTTGTATGTGATGTAATGATTTATTATCAAATTACTGTTATCTGAAGGCAGAGTTACCAAGGCATGGATTTCTGTATGTGTTTATTCTGTGTTGTCCTGTTGTAGGTAGTGGCCTTGCAATGGGCTGATCACTCACCCAAGGAGTCCTACCGGTCTGTCAAAAAGATTACAAAACTGAAGAAGAGGCCACGGCCTAATGAAGGGCTGTACAACCATTGAGGAGTGAATGAAAAGCAGTTACTGGTTCTGAAACTATTTATAGATTAAAATATGTAACATCTGAGGTTTTCATAGTGGTAACTATGAAAATATCATCTTCTGGGATGTGGTGCTCTGAACGTTAGTACATAAAAATCAGTGTTTCAGAAGAACCTTCAAGGTTAGATGTACTTCCCTCTTCACCTCTAATGATCTTTTCAATGTGAGGTTATTTTCATTAATTTTTATCTTATACCATGTTTGAGTACATCACAGAGGTAACAGGGTATTTATGTTTAAAAATATTTCTGAATACTGAAATTCTTGAGTTGAAGAGGAATTTGGTTATTTTACGAATAGAGAAATTGTTAACCTTGAGTTTTACCACAAAAAAAAAAGTTTATGAATGCCATAAAAGAGGCTTCAATGGGCATGTAGAACATATCGCTGCAACACAAGAAAAATTTCTCAAGATGTGTAGAAAACATTTTCAGATGCTAAAATGTTAACTATGGGATGACATGATAAAACTTAATGCAGTAAAACAAGAGAAGAGGAGACAAATGAATAGCAATGCAATTAAAGTAATATTGCCTTTACATACATATTCAAACACAATTATTACATCTTTCACACATTTGAATCTGAGGTCATGGTGGAGAGTCAGTACCCAGTCACACCATAGGAATTATTTTTCTTCTTCTTAAACACACATGATATATACTGATGATCTCACAAAACTTCAGGTCTTATGTCCACTGATGGCAGGTTTTATTTTACTGCAGTGAGATACAGCACGATTTCCTCCTTGCTGCATTGGACTTGAGATCTTGCTTCGCCGTGCTGCATGATGTAAAGTTGCTGCAGGTATGTTAAATGCTCTAGCTGCTGGCTTGATTCCCAGCTGACCCTGATGTATCAGTTCCAAAGCATACTGCAAAGTTAGGATGTTCACTGTGACTAAAACCTGAACAAATCTGCTGAACTCTCCTCAACAAGAGAAACTAAGTGTACTATACAGAGATACTGGGTTTTCGGACTTTATCCGTTGTCCTGGGTTTTAAGATAACTAAGAAAAACACGATGTTTCAGAAACTGGATCTGTTTGTCCTTAGGTGAGGGCAAACACCTATTCTGTTGGGTCCAGTGATTGAGGCTAGCTCTTTCTAAGGGACCAACAGAATAGGTGTTTTCCCTCACCTGAGGACGGAAACAGATCCAGTTTCCGAAACGTCGTGTTTTTCTTAGTTATCTTAAAAACCAGGACAATGGATAAAGTCCGAAAACCCAATATCTCTGTATGTTATACATCATCGTCAGAATTCTATAGTAACTAAGTGTACTATAATAAACAAAGACATATGAAGTGTTAACAATTATGCATCTGTGTTTTAATTTAGAGAAATAAGTACTTTTAATGACAACCACACTTTCCCAGTTCTAGAACTAGTGTTCAGTGTTTATTATCAGTCCCACACAATATCAGCATCAACTCCTATGCTCTGCACGTAAGTTCACAGCAAAAATCACATGATTTGAATTTCATTAATCCAAAGTTTGTACTTCTTAAGTCCCAAGCACTTCAAATTAATACTGTCTTAACAAGATTAAAAATTTGTATGACAATGGATCCATTAAAGACATGTTACTTGTGTTTATCTTTTGACCATCACAAACATGCCCATTCCTATGTTTATATGGACACAGAATATTGTCTATAGGCATATGCTTGCAATAAGAAGCTTGTCAACAAGTCATCCTCACAATGATCAGGAAATTTTGGCAAGCAAAATGGCTTCATTTCAGTCGTTAACCACTGTCATCTGTACCTACAGTGAAAAATGTTCTTTTAATTTTATGAGCATGACAGAAAGTACGTAGGTATGTATGGCAGGAAATGTAAGCATACCCACAGGCTTTTCATGAAACTTTCTTCCTTTCAGCTACAAGTACCAATACTGCAATGGTATACGAGTATGTTGTCCCTGTGCTTAACTAATTGAGTGCTATGCCACAAAGGCATATTGGGGAGTGGATGTATAGATCCACATTTTCTTGACCTCAGTACAAGCTGGAGGTGAATGGTCAGCTTCACGCCCCGGCCACTTTAACCCCAGTGGAAAGGACCCCCCACCCCCGGTACCCATTGTATAGGAGGTTGGGTGGACCTCAGACCCAGTCTGGACATGGATTAAAGAAAACTTTTGACCCTCAAGTGTCCAGCCCATAGCCAGTCACTATGACGACTATGCTATCTCGGCTCCCACTGCAATGGTATTAATCTCTAAAAGTAAAATCAGGCTTTGCTGCTATGATTTTATGTGACTCCAAATCCAGAACTTCTGTGTTCAAAGAGCTTACTTTAAGATCCTCCTTAGTATACTGTCTTGCTGCTGGCTTAGGTCTTGCTGGGGTCGCAGGGACAGAGGCGATCGATATATTAGGTGGTGCTTCCAGTACCATCAGTGTTTCACCATCTTCCAATGTTGAAACATGTGCCACTTTTGTTGCTTCGCAGTTCTGACATTAAAAAAAAACTGTACTTACAATTGTAGTTTAACAATGCTGTCAGTAACTCAAATTATATACTAACAGATGACTAGTTGATCGTAAATAATGATTCAGACAGGATGTGCAAGGAACTAGTCATGGCCTAATTTAAGGTACAATCCTAGCAGTGGAGAAAAACACACATAAAAAAGAGCCTGGATGGGATAGTCAGTGCCAGTATTTGATTCTGATACATCCAAAACACAAGCCAGAAGTGAACTGGGGTTCAACTTCTGGCAGCTGGGTTTTTTCTTCTGAACAGTATCCAGACTGACCCTGGGACCCACCCAGCCTTTGATCCAATGGATACTGAAGACTTTCCCCAGGGGTAAAGCAACCGGGGAACAAAGCTGACCATTCCCATCTAGTGCTAAAGTTAAGAATACATGGATCTACACCACCACTCTCCCATACATTTTTTTAGTGGTTACTGAACATTATGAAATTGCAAATAACATCGGTGATAGTAATGACTGTTTCTGATGATAGGTACACTGATCCATTGGGTCAGAAACTGGCCACATGTGGAGTGCAAGCTAGAATGAAGACTTGTATTATCACCAGGGCCCGGATTTTGATGACCTGAAAATATTTAAAAAATGACCGAAAAAATCCAGAAAAATGACCTAAAATATGACCCAGAAATGTAATATGTCAGAATATCTACTAATTATTTGAAAATGTATTTATAATTTGTAATTGTTATTGTGACGGACCAGAATGAAACAAATCAAACTGTATTTTTAATATTTATTAACACTGAACTCATCTTTACTCTTTTAAGTTCATCCTCGTTTTTATGTTGAGAATTAAGCAGTATTGATTGAATTTTAAGCTAAATGTTTTAATATGATTTTTTCTATCGTGTTAGAACGCTCATCAAATGTACATATGCGGTATGTATTCCAACATTTAAGTTGTACCTCATTCAGAGTTGCAATAGATGACAGTCAACATGCGGAGATTCTTGAAAGTGAGAGCATGCCTACTGTCCGACAACACATTCTTGTACTTAGAGAAACTCCTTTCCACATCTGCAGACACAACAGGAGCATACTTGAAGTGTACCAAATCACTAGCAGTAAGTTCTTCTTCAATACTGAAGGCGCTGAAGGACTCTCCTGACAGAATTTGAGAAATGCTGCATAATGTTTCATAACCTAAGTTTTTATCCAGAACACTTTTCATTTTTCTTGACACCATTTTACCAATGTCCCCTGACACTTTCTCCAAATCAGTGGCTATTTTTTTCACCAGAGCGAGCGAATCTTCTAGAGTTGCTCCTCTGTCCTGCAAGCATTGGATTCCTTCTGTCAAGGAACTGAAATTTGCCTTTATGAAGGCCAGCTGTCCTTCCATCTCGATGCACGAGAACTGTTCCTGAACAGCTTCAATTGCCCTCACATCCTCCATCTTCATTGAATGTATAATGTTTTTCACTATCTGAAAATGATCACAATGGTAAATTGCAGCATCAGTCCATGTTCTCCACCTTGTAATGATGGGTTCCGGGGGCAGTGGAACACCAGGGGCCGCAGCTTTAAAATGTATTTTACGAGCTGGAGCCTTGATGAAAATCTTCTTCGTCCTTGACACAAGAGCATCCACTTGAAGAAATTCTGATCTCACTTCCTCTGTCATTCTATGCAGTGCATGAGCTAGGCAAGTAACATGCACCAATTTTGTATAAAACGACTTTATTGACTTGCCTGCTTTTACAATATATGGGGCTGCATCGGTCACAAAAAGCAAGACGTCGTCATGTCGTATACCCTCTGGCCACAGTAGAAACATCGACCTGTCGAAGAGTTTACAAATTGTGGAATGATTAATGGATTTTAGCACCTCACTCCTAAGCAGAAACACTTCACCTGGTCCGCCAATTTCCAAGGTTCCATTGATGACGTTCGCCTCGTAGCAAGCGTCCGTATCGCAGGTCTCATCAATGGAAACGAAAATCTTCTTCCAATGCACTTTATTCCTAATCATTTCCAGGATACTGTCGTAGCACTGGGAAAGGTAGTTCTTCCTGAGTGTGGATTCATCCGGGATGGAACAACCACAGTTTACTTCCAGAAAATTTTTCAGTTTTCCATTGTTTAGAGCCCAAAATGGAATATTTGCGGACGCCAGAGCATCACACGGATCTCTAAAAAATATGATGACTTATTTCGACCTCCAGATGAACGCTGTTGCAGTAACATTTGCACAGGTTTCTTTTTGTTCGAAATTTGCACTGCTCATATATGCCTGTCGCGGCCGATATGTTGTTGTACCGTGAATCTTTTTTCTGCCACTACTTTTGTTTCACACATCTTGCAGTATAAAATGTCACCATCAGTTGAAAATATATCATCTCCAAACTCTGCTACAAATTGCTTTAAATGACACGATTTACTTGGCTTTGCTTTTGGCATCGTGATAAAATTAATCACTCTGGCGCAACACAGAACTGAACTTTTCCACCGAGAACCTTTCATCAACTGTATCTTTTTCTGTATGGTCAAGGGTGAGGAACTGAAGACAGAAGGTGTTTATTGAACAACGTCATATGAAGCAAGAGATTCCAATTAGAAATATGTGTAACTAAGCAAATTGCTTTGTACAAAGAGCTGCAGTGTGAGTAGTCATCGCCATACCGTTTTATTATATGTATTGTCAGCACTGCCATGAAACGAATGGAAAGGACGGCCCAGGATTGCAACCTGTTATTGTATAATATGGCTTTTGTAGAGAGCGCTTAGGAGAAAGAGAAAGAACACTCTGCTTCCATATTATTAACATTATTAACAAATTCCCTAAAATGGCCAAAAATGACAAGAAATACCCTTAAAAGCCCCAACAATTACCCAAAAAATGACCTTAAACCAAAAAATTACCTATAAAATTTACATTTCTCTAACCAGCAGCTCATATCCAAGATTTCTATATTTAAGAGCATCGCACAGGATACAAGGAATTATCACCATTAATAAATATTTTGTAATGACATTTTGAACAGATGTTGCTAATATAGCAAACAGTCTTTTGTACATTTCAAATTTTGGGTCACATATAGCTTTATTTAATAAGGGTAGATTGCCTCTGTGGTCTAGTGATGAGAGTTCCTGGCAACAGATCTGGAGGTCCCGGGTTCGATTCCCGGCGCTACTAGATTTTCTGAGAAGCAGTTGGCCTGGAATGGGGTCCACTCAACCTCATGAGGATAACTGAGGAGCTACCTGAATGGGAAAGTAGTGGCTCTGGGCTAGAAAACCGAAATTAACGGCCGTGGGGATTCAATACACTGACCATGCGACACCCTCTATCCGCTAAAGTTGGCACTAACTTCTCCAACAAGCAGGGGTTGCTCAGTCAGTATAGTTCACTTGCAGACTAAAGCCACAGTTTTTTTGTTTGTTTTGTCCAAAATGATATAAATAACTATAAATATAATTATTGTATATTGTGTATAGTTTGTTTCACTTGCACAGTTTCCATTTATTAAAATTTAAACATCACAATATAGTAAAATTCACTCTCTTCAAAACGGTGTATGGTAAGTCTAGGTGAGCTGAAAATTACAGCAATGATCTGCATTTTGTTGGATCTGAATTTTGCATGCTCTGACTTAGCACTGCAGGAATTAAAGCTGGCACTTGTAGGGTTGAATGTTTAAGACTAGTAAAAGAAATCATACACAGAGGACAAAATAAAAAATGGTTATAGGGACATGTAGAATGGAGTGTGCAGAAACATGAATCTGCAGGTTGCATAAGGAAAGCATCTACAGAACCCGTTTTTCATACTTTTCCAATCTTTTGATATTTCCATTTTCTTTTTCAAAGTCAAAGCAAGAAACTGTTGCTTTAGTTCTTGCATCAGTGTCTTTTCAGGAGACACAGCAGAATGATAGTTGAAGTTTTCACACATACTATAATGCACTCACAAATTCAACCATCCTATTTTGAAATCATGCATCATTACAACTGTATTTGCACATGTGTGAGGGAGGATGGTAGGCAGCACTGCTACTGGCAGATGGGCCAACTACCACATGATGGGTGAACATATGGATATTGCAACTTTGATTTTAAGTAACTTCATAAAACGGTAATTTTTTTTGCAATTTTTGCTGGTTGCATGAAAACTCCAAAGGTTTGGTAAGAAAAAATTCTAGAAAGAGGCTTGGAATTACTGACAGTTATCCAGTATTAGAACTTGGAATGTAAAAATACTGGAACTCACAAAAGGCACAGGAAAAACAAATTTACATATTTTGCTATTACTGTTATGTCACGGGTTTTGAAACTAGAAACCAAATTCATTGCCTAAACGTTACGAGAGCGTTTCACAGAAAGTAGAGCAGTGATGGCCACACATAGGCTGTGAAACGCAGTGTTATGTCAACAAACACCGGAGTCAGCAAAGGCACGCAACCGCTCCACTTTATAAGTGACGTTTGTAAACACCTGGAGACTGCGAAATTACAAAAGCAAAGAGGGAGGCGCCGCGTTTGCCCGCGATAAGTCGGATTTAGCCAATTACGGTCAGCCTCCCTCTTTCGCCAACTGCAGTGTCAGTAAAATTAGTCTATAAAAATGAGAAAATAAAACCCAAAAGGGGATCTCATCTAAACATAATAACCAGCTGCTAGCCGTAGGCTCTGTCCGACATGGGTACCACAAGATGGTGGATGGCGACACTTATCTGCGTCTCTATTTCAAGTAAGTGTCTTTGCTCATATTAGCCATGTTATCAAAAAATTCAGTGTTGTTGTGTGAACTCGAAGTACAGTCTCCAGTGTACCCCAGCGAGTGCCAGGGTACAATAGGGTAGAAATTGTGTAGTGACAGGCAATGGAGGGGAGCAACAGTCTCACGGCATCACCCCCGAGAGGGAAATTAGAAAGGGAGTAACGAATGGTGTTATGTAAACTGGCCGAAGGCAGCCCCTTTTTATTGTAAATAACAGTGTAAATAGACCAGTGTACATAGGGTAGGATGTACGCAGAGTATGATTCACCCTCACAAGCTCCTCCTTTTCCCAGTCCCAAGCGAAGGGCAGAACTGACCCAGGCGGCCAACAGCAGCCAGATGCAACTAGCAGAAGGGCTATGATAATCCGAGTTAAGGGTGAGAGACTAATAGGAGACAGAGAGATAGCGTTCCAAGAGGGAACAAGGGAAGAGTAAATTAGATATTTCATTATCCTCTTCAGGCATAACAAAGTGATGGCAGAGGTGGGGATCGGAAAACGCAAGGTGGCTGATGTAGAGAAAGAGTAACTGTGCTTTACTCACCCCTGATATCGAAGTATTACTTATGGCAATGGTGGTGGACTGAGTCAACGAAGGGTTAACTGACGAAGCAAAGGGACTAGCCAAAGTGAAATGGCAGACCAAGTGATTTAGTGTGTTGTAACCCACCCCCGGCACTAAGACACAATAATTGGTGACAGCAGGGAGATATCAAATCCACCCCTGTCGTAAAGGTGTAATATATGGTGTGACAGTCGATGGGTAGAGGCGGGTCAGACCCGACACGCCCACTCTATGCCAATAATAAGTGGTGACAGTGATGAAGGGGCCAGCCAACAGAGAACGCTCGACTACCGCGCTACCAGCCCTTAGTACTTTCATCACCCCTTTTTAAGATGTAATAGATGGTGGCAGCTCTATGCAACGAAGGAAGCCCAGAACCAGGAGAATCCTAGCTGAGGGTAATCTAGTATTATTGTGTTAACCCCTTACAACATAAGATGTGGCAGCAGTGGAAGGCTACCTACACGCCCCCCATCACCACGGCGTAATAATTACATACTACAGACCATACACTTACCTCAGTTAATTTTCCTATATGTTCCTGGGTATCTGCACCAACATTAGTCTCTTTCTTAGAGGCTTGTTCACTTCCTTCTTCTAAGCTGGAGAGAACAAGACATACATATGCGAAGAACATGATTTATGCATTAAGAGGTCTGATAATAAAGTTCACGAACTAGCCACCATGTGCTTGCAGCAGTGGACAGAAGCCTTAGTATGGTATGACGACACTGGCATATTAGCGTTTCACAGCCATGTTGTTGATCTATGGCAGTCTCTTTTTCAGTGGCGTCTATTACTGTCTGTGTTTTGGTGTGCCACCACAAGAACGTTGGAGCTTGAAGTAGAGCAACAAACGAACATTAATAATCTTATATTTTAGCGTCCTGTTGCACTGATTCACGTCCATGACGTGTATTTGTACCGACTGTCTTACAGTGCACATGATTTCACCTTTCTCTTCACTACATGTTTCGGCACTAATGTGCCATCTTCAGGTGTGGTTTTATTTACGTCAAACCATTGCACTGTATGCCATCATGTCTCCTTTATAAAATGTATATATGTCATGTATAATAATAAAGTTTATATATTAAAACTTTTCAAGATTTATCATATATACGTCACACTTCAAATTTTGTAAGGTACGTCAATCCTCTCCTATGGGGGTGTTCTTCCTATATTCTTGTGTATATCTGCAATGTGAAAATGTTACTCATTAATACCACGTTCCGACTTCTATCTGTTACGTGTGGTTTTATAATGTTTAATACTCACTATGTCCTGTGTTGTGTTCTTCCCTTGTGACTGTGTGCGTTGTATTGCTGGATATGTGTATGTGTGCTGTCTTCATATTGATTGAGTTATGATGTTGTATTGTTAAATGTAGTGGGGGTAGGTGGTGGGGTGTTATGTTGTTCTGTGTAAATAGTGTGTAATTCGTGAAATACTGGCTTATATATTTCTTTATTTATACTGTTCATATGCATGTTTTTCTTTGCTGTTCTATATATATGATAGTTTTCTAATTTGTTTAAATATTGTCCTTTCTTATTCGTTGCTATGATATCCATAGTATTTTCTATTGTACCATATGCATGTCCTGTGTTTAATATGTGTTCTGAGTATCCTGTATTGCTGTTACTGTGTCTTATGTCGTGTATGTGTTCTTTATATCTGGTATTACATTTCCTCCCAGTTTGTCCTATATATTCCATGGCATTTCATACTATATATGCCACTATTGTTATATTTATTTATTCGTGGTCCTGATTTTAATATGTGTTGTAAATTATTCTTAGTTCTGAATGCTATTTTCAATTCTGTCTCAAAATATTTTTGTTATATTTCTTGTTTCTTTTCCTATATATGTGAATGTTGCCCATTTCGTTTTTTTTTTGTCCTTCTGAATTCTCTGTGATGTTCTGCTTTTTTGTAATGTTTTGCTTTCTGTTATTTGTAGTTAGTTTTGTAATTATATGTGCTGTACTTATTATTTATGAGTATGTTATTTATAATAGCTATCTCATTATCTTTTGTATTCTGGTAATGGGGTAGTTATTTACTCGATCTATGAGTCATACCAGATATCTTGTGTTCTTGTGGATGACATGAGTCACTTGGTATTATTATGTCCATTGCTGTGTGTTTGCGGTGGATTGAAAATTGCAAATTTTCTATTCCTCTATATATTCCTATATCTAGGAAATTTATAGATTTATGGTTCTCTTTCTCTATTGTGAAATTTATCGTAGGTTGCAGTTTATTAAATTCTATAATCATATCGTCAATATTTGTTTTGTTTATATCATATAATATTAGTATGTCATCAACATGTCTGAAATATTCAATTATGTTCTGATCTTTTAATATGTTGTATATTTGCGTGTGTTCCATGTTCTGGATATATATTTCTGCTAATATTGCAGATGTTGGAACTCCCACAGCTAAACCATCTGTTTGTTTGCAATATTCTTGCTCATACTGAAAATAATTTTGGTCTAGTATAGTGTTCAATATGCACATAATTTCTCTTTGTGTATTTGTGTTTGTATTATGATTGTGTTGTAGTATATTTTTAGTTATGTTCATTATACAGAGTAATTCACGAAGTTTTACCCCAGCTTATGGTACATATTCCTGGGGTTATTTCCTGCAAAATTTCCTTATAAACTTTTGGTTGATATTCAGTAGTTACAGAGTAACAATAAATTTTTGAAACGCATCATTGTGAATGCAGCGCTATGCTTCAGCGTGGGCGACCATACGTTCCAGTCAGCTATGTCAGCAGATAAGGTAGACCGGTTTGAAGGTTGCGCGTAGGTAGATAGGCAGAACAGTTCATATGCGTGCGATGCATTGTGTTGACATGCAGGGAGACATTTTTGAAAATCTTATGTAAATCCAGTTGTCTTCTAAAGCACTACAGTTTAAAGGAAACAGATTGATAGAAGGGTGTGATATGCAACCACTGGTATGTTTACAGAATGGGATGCTGAAAATAATGTAATTTTGTAACACATAATCGATGGAAAATGTTGCACAATGCAAAATTAAGAAATTGAAAAGAAAAATTTGGTTTTAGAATGCTTCTTTCCTAAAACATTAACGATTTAAAAAGTGTTTGTATTGTATTTCTAATTTGTTTTGAATGAAATTCGAAGAAAAAAAGATTTTTTCGCCAGTTTTCAAATTACTGTATCTCTTTAATTATGAGTTGGATACCATTAGTATATTAACATTTTTTGTTCCAAATTACCTCAGGAATGCCCTCCCTAAGTGGGGGTAAAACTTCGTGAATCACCCTGTATCTTTCTTAGGCATGTTTGTATACATGTTTTTTATATCAAAAGAACATAATCTTATGTTTTCATCTATTATAATTGTGTTTAAATCATTCATTAATTGTATGGAGTTATGTATATTATATGCGTTTGGCAATTGTAAATATTCTTGTAGTGTTTTGGATAATAGTATTGCTATTTGGTATGCTGGGGTGTGTCTCCAGTTGATTATGGGTCTAATAGGTGTGCTATGTTTGTGTAGTTTTATTGTCGTGTGTAAATTTGGGGCCATAGGAAGAACACTCCCATAGGAGAGGATTGACGTAACTCACAAAATTTGAAGTGTGATGTATAGATGATAAATTTTGAAAAGTTTTAATATATAAACTTTATTATTATACATGACATATATACATTTTAATCATTTTATAAAGGAGACATGATGGCATACAGTGCAATGGTTTGACGTAAATAAAACCACATCTGAAGATGGCACATTAGTGCTGAAACATGTAGTGAAGAGAAAGGTGAAATCGTGTGCACTGTAAGACGGTTGATACACATACACATCATAAACGAACATTAAATTTCTTCGGATAGACTTAAAAGGATTTTGATGATGGTGTATGCTGTACAGAACTATTAGGCTTATTTTGGACTCTTATCTATTGTCTGGTATATAGAAGACAAAAAAAAAACCACAACGTTTTGGAGATTGGATCTGTCTCCATCCTCAGGTGGATGGGGCAGGATAAACCTACTCAGTTGGGCCTGTTAGAAAGAGCTATTCTCAGTCACCATAGCATTATCCCTGTAAAGTTGCAACAATATCTCTCTGATTTCACTTACACTCTTGCCAAGTGTATAAGTGAAATCAGAGAGATACGAGTATTATTGCAACTTTACAGGGATAGTGCTATGAAGAAAACAGCAGTTTACAAGTGGGTAACACGTTTTCCTGAGGGAATAAAAAGTGTCATTGACAAAGAGAGATCAGGACAGCCATCAACAAGCAGAACTGAAGAAAACATAGAAAAAGTCCATCAAATCATCAGCTGACTGTTAAGAGAGCATAGCAGAGCAAGAAAACATTGACAGATAAAACAGTTATGAAAATCTTATCTGAAGGTCTTGATGTATGTAAAAATGGTCCCAAAGGAGCTCACTGGAGAACAAAAGCAAAGAAGAGTCGAAATTTGCTGAGACCTTTTGGAGAGGCAAGAAGACATTTTGGGCTGTCATCACAGGTGATGAAGCATGGGTCTACCATTATGACCCTGAAACAAAGCAGCAATGTGCACATTAGAAGACTGACAATTCTCCATGGTCAAAAGAGTTCTTTCAGTCAAAACAATGTTGCTAACTTTTTTATATTAGAGGGATTGTTCATTATGAGGCTGTACGAACTGTACAAACAGTCAACCAAGTTTACTATTTTGAAGTACTGAAAAGGCTGCATGAAAGTCAGAAATGACCCAAACCTTTTGCCAAAAACTCATGGATCTTGCATCACAACACTGCATCTGCTCACATAGCACTGTGGTAGCAAACAAATAACTATGCTGGAACACCCGCCATATTCAACAGATCTAGTGTCCAATAACTTTTTCTATTCCAAAAGACTGACACTGATGACATCAGGAGTAATATGACAGCAGTTCTGAAGACCATTCCACAAAGCCAGTTCCAAAATCGTTTTGAAAGGTGGACGTGGTGCTGGCATTGGTGCGTAGCTTCCCAAGGGAAGTACTTTGAGGATGACCACAGTGATATTCATCAATGAGGTATGTAGCACTTTTACCGCAATGAGTTCACGAACTTTATTATAAGACCACGTATATTGTGCTCACAATTCTTTATTACAGAATAATCCAGAGTTGACTACATATAAATACACTAAAAATGAGGGCACATAGCATATATCTTTTTAATCTGCTAGATGCTGCTGGTTAGACTGAACCTAGATAAGCCATATAAAACATGAGTACATAATAAACAGGTATATTAGATTCTTGATTACTCCAAGTATACAGCCTGCATTTTATAATCAAGGGAACAAACACATCATCTGAACAATACAAGTATGTTGTAACATGCAGACATCACAATAATTGTGCAACTGACGGAACAGTTTTTTATATGAAAACTGTAATTTCACACTCTTTAGTCTGAAAATGTAAATGTTATGTCCTTTAAACAAGAACTGACCCTCTGAACGGTTGCAAATAAGTTATCTGATTTTAAATGGACTTAACTTCATGCTGTTAATGCAAACAAACAAATACTAAATGCACTCAACACAGTGCTTCATGATATAA